CCCCACCCTGTTCCTTCTCTCTATTGGCGTAGGAAGTGGGAACAAGCAATGGTTTTGTTATCCCAAGGAATACTCTTACTTAATGTACTGCTTCCCAAACAATCCATTTCTTCCTACACCTGTCATTTCTTCCGAATTTTTGCATCAATTACAATCCGATTTTTTTTCTTCGTTTAAGTTGTATTGATACGTACGTATAGACTGTGCTATTTAGGCAGCAGAGCCAATCACTGAAAAAGATTTTTATTGATATATTTAAATAATTCCCTCAGATTTACTACTCGTGTCGCAAGAGATTTTTTCTACTGGGACCGTTTTAAAATGATAATTATTTATGTGTGTGGTATCATTCTAAATAAATAACTATCTATCTATTTATCTGTATAGTAGTTGAAAAAAATTATTTACCATCGCCATTTTGGGGGCCGAGCAGTATTCACAAAAAATCCAACTTCTATTTTTTGTAATCCTGACTGGAACCCTGCCACTAATTCAGAAAGTAAGTAACTAATGAATCAAAAACAAATAATCATAAAAAAACTGAATAACATGAACAGAGAACTCTAAAAAAAAAAAAAACTGAAAGCAAAAAATTATTAGAATAAGTAGTACTGAGATTTTCCTATTATTTACTCAATCTGTCCACGTATATTTCTCTGTATAATATTCCTACTATTATTTATCACGTAGTTTTTGCTTCTACGATATTTCATCATATTGAAATTGAAAGAGCGCTCCTGTTTTTAACGAGCGACAATTCATATTTTCCCGCTAAATCCCGAACCAATATTTTTACGTCGGACTTTACCAGAAATACTTGTCGAATGGGTAGTAGAAGCGTTTCCCCTCTTTCTCGCCAGTTTCCGTTTCCTTGTTGTTTCCAGTCATAGAGAAAAAAAAGGAGGTGTTTGCATTTCGGGCATCTTGGAGTATTTTGATGACTTGATGACGTAGGTGGGTACAGCTGGGTACAGGGACGTCCCCTTCACACTGTACCCACCTACGTCATCAAGTCATCAAAAAATTCCAAGATGCCCGAAATGCAAACACCTCCTTTTTTTTCTCTATGGTTTCCAGTATTGTGCTAAAATTGAATGTGTAGTATTTGTTACTCCCATCCAATGTAGTTAATAATTGTGTGTTGTTTTGTTATTTTGTGTTATAAACCATTTTTAGTATTTTAGTTTTTCAAATTTTTACGATATGATTCATCAGTGTTTGCGAGGAAGCACTGCGATCAGTGCGAAAATCCCAGAAGTGCTGTGTTTTCGTCGAGGATTTTAAGGTTATGCTTGTTTTTGTGATATTGTTTGATGGCCAGGTCTAATTTACTCTAAATAGAGTTTCTCGTACACCGTGCAATTTGATTCCATCAGCTGTCTACTCGTAGAAAAGTGGAAGGTAATTTTCTTGTTTTTAAGTAATAGCCAGTCCTCCATTTATGTTTACGTGCATATCCTAACAACTCAGAACTTGCGCTGCTAGATACCTCAACTCAATCTTTCAACCGTGTTCACAGGATATGATATGTATTCTAGAAGGTTCTAAGTTTGCTGAAAGTAGGAACTATGTAATTTTATTGAACTACTTGCTTAGCTCCCGCTCTAGAGATAATCCTATTTACATATGAGCAACTGACGATACTTCTTATCAAGTTGAAAATCATACTTTAAAAACATAGTCCCTGTTTACGGAACAAGACATATCATGTATTCAGTATCTCTAGTGATCATTGTAAATTCGTAATTTCTTGCTGTATTGATGTGACATATTGGCCTTTGTCTGCTGTCTCCATTCTTCATTTTCGAACTGATGAATAGAGTCCCTGCTAAGTAAGTTTGCGCCTGTCCAGAGTGCGATGGAGATTAGCTGTCTTCAGTTTGGCATTAAAGGTAAACTCCAGAAGCAAGATGGCCGATCCTCTTCTTTACTCCGAAAATGCGCAATCTTATTCTGTTGACAATGGAAGTTAGTGAAAGCGCCAAATGAATTTGCTCGATCATTGCATAGAAATCATTTTCATACTGACTTATCAGTATAATGGAGTGAAATTGGACACGAGAGTTCCAATTTCTTGTGTCAAATTTTCAAACTAAGCTTGAAGTTTGAATTACAGATTTAATGGAAATATTATATGATTTTGTTGTCCACTGAATTGATAACAATTTCTTCAAGGCTAGCACCTATCTTGATATCGAGAGGGTCATCTCTCAAGAAACACTGCGGTGGAACACAAAGTTAGTTGGGTTTTTTCAGGAGTAAGTTGATATAATTTTTTATCATGAATCACTTCTATATCGCGGTTCAAATAATAATCATGAATGATAAGTCTAATATTGCACTGATTAGACACAAACCCACACAAAACTTGTGTCAGTTCAAGTGAACTGACATTGATTGAGACATAAGCTAAGCATTCAGTAAAGTGATAGCTCTTTATTTTTGACCGTCATGTTTGGTAGAGTTTTTTTTATCAGCGCTCAAAAACGTCATCATCTGTGGCCAATCTTCAGTGGCCAGTTGACAACAACAAAGTGATTTATCATAAACAGGAAGTCAACACCTGCCTCCTCACTTATCTGAAGCCAGTTTTTCAGGCTGACACCAGTGCGAAACACATATTTTCATACATTTTTAATCGATCGCTTTTGGATCTTCGTTTAATTTTAATCACTTCCATGACTTAAACCATTCGGAAATCCTTAATTTTAAATTACAGAGCAAGGAACCTTATGGTGGAAAAAATAAACTCACTCATTGAGAGTAATTTTCTGAAAAATTGACAGTAGGTATTTCAAGGTTTCATTGGTCATTCAGGTGCGCATTGAAATTTTGAATTTCTATATCAGCTAAGCAGAGCGCACAGACTGAGTCAACTGTAAATCAGTCATGGTTGCAGTTGTGAGGTCTAGTGAAAGGTCATGTGAATCCCATATAACAAAAATAGTTTATAACCAGGGTGACATGTTCTTAGTACGAAAATCAAGGAAAACCTGGAAAAATCAGGGTACACTGCGTTTCAATCTCCTGCAGATTATTGCCCCATGAAACAAACTAGTATTTCATTGCCTGGCAAGATGTGGAACAATGCAAAAGAAATTGAATCCCAGGGCAATGAAGAAAAATTTTTGCCCCATCACAACCTATTCTTACATGCAATCTGCAGGCAAGTAATAAAAACGACATAGATGAGAGGGAATGTAACAGTAAAAATTTGGCGTGAAGCTGTGCAACAATTTTGTATCATTTCACCGCGCTATTTTGGGGCATTTTAAAAATTTTGTTTCATCGCCCTGCGCTATTAATTTTTTCTTATTGCTCCTTGCAATTTAAAGTGATTTGTCACTGTTTCTGAGGTGGTCGAAGTGGCATGCGATATTACATCGAACCTGTCAAAAATCTTTGCAGATTTTGAATATTCAGCCAGAAAAAGAACGCTAGCCCCTGCGCATGAGCCTTAAAAATCATTCTAAACAAAACAACTGGCATAATTAAGAATAATGGAAACAGAATCCTGTTTAGAGTCGATTTCTGTATCAAATGCGAAGTTTTTTCTAAACAGGATTCTGCTTTCATTTCTATGAATTTTTTGAATCGTTTAGTTTAGAATGATTCCTTAGGCTCACGCAGGAGTTATTGTCTGTTTTCGGCTAAATATGCAAAATTTGCCAAGATTTTTGACATAATCGATGCCAGGTTGACCACGTCAGAAACCTTGACGAATCACGTAAGGAGGGTGTGTTTCTCGGGGAAATAATCTATGAGGCTTTGCAGTGTTACTCTCAGGAAAAAGTCAGTAAATTTTGCTGCAGAATCTTGAATGTTTTCCTGCAGTCCAAAAAATTCAACTATTTTTAGGCCCTAATTATTAATAGATCCTGTAACATATTGGCTTTTCCTCTAAAAAGTTATACGGTAAAATTTTTTGTTCTAAATTTTCATTCGTAGGTAACATGAATTATTGTAAATATTCTGACTCATTCAAAGCAGCCTCTAACCTACTTTTTCTAAAAAAAAGTGTGTCAGCAACTTTTCCCCTACTCAATTCGATTCGATGATATTAGATTTAGTTCTTTTTTATGAATTAAATGCTTCAGAAATATTCGCAGGAACTAATCGACGACTCAATTCCTTCACTATGTTTCTCAGCCCATTCCTCTTGGCGAGCTGAATAATTCATCTTTTCCAAACATTTTACCGTTCCACTTGCGTCATGCGCTGCAATTAGTGACTGTTTGTATCGTCATCTTTTAGCTTCTACAGCTAATTTTATTTACGACCTACTATGGTTGATTCCATTGGAATTTGATTGTACTCAGTTCTCTTGCACACACATTGCGTCGGTGTAAGTCGGCAATCACATAACTCGTTTGCGGTGTCGGAAAATCTCCGCCTCCATGTCATTATTTTTAAAAGAGAACAAATTGAAATGATTCCTAGGAGTTTTTGCAGAATTTTCTTCGCACAGAAGAAAAATCACGGCAGTTTTGAAGAATGGCCGTTGAGTAGTTTTCCGTTTAAAAAATAAAGTATGACAGGAAGTCTGCGACGTCGCAAACCGAGTTATGTGATTGCCGACTTACACCGTCGATTGGCGATACTGGAAAGTTGGCAACACTGGGATGCGCCCTTTTAAATGTATGTAAAATAACCGATAGCCTAGAATTTGCTTAAACGAACGAAAAACGTTGCCTATTGTGAGAATTGGACGTATTTCTATCAAACGGAACTATGTGGATCAAGACATGAGCCCTGAGACTCATAAGAATATATGCTTAGCAGGGCTCATGTCATAATGCACATAGATCCGTTTGACAGAAATGCGTCCAATTGCCGTTGTGTATGAATTCACTTTTGCTCTCGAGGAATCTCAAGAAACACCAACTGACGACCTGATTCAATTATTTAATTTTGTTTCCATTCTGTCAACAGTGAACCTGCTATGGATGAAGCAGTCATCAGAAAAGAAAATGAGACCGAAGAAGAAGACGACGACTCGGAAGAAGAGACGGAAGAAGAAAACGGGAACAACAACGACGGGGTGGGAGAGGGGCGGGTAGAGGAGGAGGAGGAAGACGACGACGATGACGACGTCGACGACCTGGTGTCGGCCATCAACTACAACACCATCAACTCCTTATCGGCGCTCAAGGAGATCCTCGGGGACAGCCAGGAGAGCGAGCCCTGGTTCCAGCACTACTTCCTGCGCCACTGCAACCGGTTGCCCTCCCGGAACCAGCAGTACCCCGACTTCCCGCGTCGACGCCTCTCCGAGTGCAAAGAGGAAGACGAGTCCGTCGACGAGAGGGGCGACTCCCCGAAGACCCATACGACGGGCTCCTTGACGCCGACCAACGAATCAACCCCGACACCCACCCCCACGCCGACGGGGACGGTGACGACGATCAAGACCTGCGGGAACCACACGTTCACGGTCTCGGCCTGCGAGAAGGTCTCGGAATCGACCGGGACCAACGCGAGCAACACGTCGTCCGAAACGACGTCCACGTCGGCCACGCCCAACTCGTCGATGCCCTCGACGCCGATGAGGTCCAACCAGTCGGACACGCCGCCCCTCTCGCCGAGGGTGAGCAGGGCCGCGTCCCCGCACCTCGACAAGAAGTTCTTCGACTCCTCGCTCATCGAGATGAAGTCCCAGGCCTCGTCGTCCTCCACCATCGATAATGACTCGTCCGAGGACATCTGGGTCAAGCGCATCGATTTCGATTCGTTCAAGAAGAGGGTGAGTTTTTTCCCTTATTTATTTGCCTCTTTTTTTCTTTTTCTTTTTTTTTTTGCTTCTTTTTAAGCAGTTTCAGGGAGTCTAGCATCAGGATTTTCCTGATTTTCTAGATTCTATCAGGATTAGAGGAAAAAATTGGTCGTAAAATTAGCATTTGAGAAAAGTCGGTCGTCCGATCGGATTTTTTTATCGAGCTATTTTCGTGATAGGCATTAATTTTTCTCCACAAAAAAACCAGGATTTGGAAAAAAGTAAAAAATCAGGATTTCCCTAAATGTCTAAAACTACATACCCTGTTTGCTTTGGAATTTTTGGGCGTTTTTGTCCCAAAGTTTTCATGGCACGTTCCTCCATGTTCTGGTATCAATAGGTTGAATCAGAGTTTTTGCGGACGAAGGCCTCTTATAATTGGCAGATCCAGCTAATTGGCAACATTGTCTTTTCTCCATTAAAACCTATGGAAATGTATCGATTCTTGGAGGGACCATGTGCCCCGACAAGAATCCATTATTTAGCATAGGTTCAAATGGAGGAAATCCGGTGTTTTCAAATTGCTGGATCCGCCTCTAGCAAATGCATGAAAACGCCGCCCAAGCTCTCAAGCGCTCAGTCCACGTACTAACTAGAGGCTCAAAAGAGGTTCATCGATGCCTTTCCTGGCTCTCTAATTTGCCAAAGGTGCAAGTCGAGGTAATCGATAAGTCTCTTTGAACTACTTTGAAGCCTCTAGTCTGCACGTGGGCCCAGCGCTTCAGATCGTAAGACTCCAAGTCTCGCCACCGATGAAACGTTTTAAGTTGACGTTCGTCCACACAACACCGTGACGCAGCACAACAAATTACCCGGCGTCACCTTTCCCAGGTGCCTTCGATGCCTGTTTTTTGCCTCATTTTCACCTGCTTGAAAAATTTCGGATCGGCGTTCGATCCGATCGATCCTTGATCTACATCCTGAGCAACGTTCGAGCGGCCGGAGCGGAGTGACGTCACCTGTTTGGACGTTGATCGTGACATGCCGCATGCCGCGCCACCCGGTCTCGCTCTGCTCCGCCTTGAACTTAAAGTTGTCGGATCGGCGGGAAAATGTAGACGCTCTCAATGGCAGAGCCATATTCGTCGCCTCGAATCCTCGCCGATTTGAACGGAGCGCGCGGAGTCCCAGCGCGCGAGAATCCTCTTTTACGACCGGCATAACATTACGGCCTGCCGAGCTAACGAAAAACGCCGTATGTAAAATTAGACATTGCCAAATGCTACACTGATAAAATGCAAAATTTTCTGTAAAATTTTTGAATAATCTCCTTGAATTTTTCCGAGAGGATTTTACTCGCGTTTTAATTTAGCGCATCCGTGAATTTCAAGGCAAAGTATTCAAGCATTTCCACGGACTTTAATTTTTTTGTCTCTGGGAATTTGGCAACATTCGAATGCTGATACGGCGATTTTGCTGAGCATGATAGATTACCCATTACGTCGCGTCAAGCGCTTTTCCTGGTAGTTGCTTTTTAGGTTTTAAGAAGGCAGAGGTGCAGAAAACGCGGGATCGTGAATCATGTTAGGAAAGGCAAGGGCCATTTAAATAGCCATAATACCCACCCCCGCCCCCTCCCTCTTATTTTTCTATTCACAATTACTTAGGGAAATGTTGATGTAGGCAACCACGATCTTGCATCGGGGCTGTCCAGGATCCATAAATAACATGATGCGATTTTTTCGATTTTTTGACGCCACCCGTCCCTTCTAGCGCGATCATACCGCTAATCCAGATACTTCCAAATAATTACGTAAATGAATCTAAATTTTAATATCATAATTAATAACTATGGCACTCAATTATGAAATGCGTTTATCTAAGGATAAAATAGTTGAAGAGAAATTTTGTGAAAAATATAAGTGAAAACTGTGAAAACCGTAGACAATAAATGATAATGTTAGTCTAGAAAACGCGGGTTTCCCACGTGGTCGAATAGTGATATCACCGTTCACTTACATCATGTGCGCTTACTCGGAATACGAACAAAAAGTAGCTTTTACCTGACGAGAAGAGGTGGCTGTAACGTCTTGTCAGTTCGCCCTCAACTTTTAGTGTAGGCAACATGGGCTCCCACGTGGTCGAATAGTGGTATCATAGTGCCATGGCGCGTACAGTCGGAATACACACAAAATATAGCTTTTTACTGGACAGAAAGAGGTGGATTTAACGCCTTGTCAGTTCGCCTTCAACTTTTAGTGTAGGCAACATGGGCTCCCACGTGGTCGAATAGTGGTATCACCGTAAATGTCATGATTAATCGGAACACGCAAAGAATAATGTGGATAGATGATTCTAACGCATCGGCAGTTCGCCTTCAACTTTTAGTGTAGGCAACATGGGCTCCCACATGGTCGAATAGTGGTATCATCGTGAAATGTCACGCATACTTGGATCACACACAGACACGAAGAAGAGATTCGCTCATCTGCAATCATGGTTCTATCCAATATAAACTTTCACATGATCAAATAGTAATAATGCTAAAAGGTGGATCGTGAGCTTACGTTTGTAGGGCCTCTGTGAATTGGCAAGGCTAGTACATTAAATTAAAATCTAATTGAAAACGTGAATATTTAATGCACTGAACTAAGAAATATGCGTCTTTAAGGAAAGAACAAGTGAAAAACTGATTACCGAAGATAAGAGCGTAACGTTATTTTTGCACAGTCCCCTCACAGTTTTGCGAGAAAACTTCGCAACCATGACTTTGCGTGAATGTTTTGAGACAGCTTTCCGCGAAAATCACGCGATTTCGCGGCAGAATTCCCGATTTCTCTATTTTTACCTTTTCGTGCGGATGTAATGAAATATTGATCGCCGTTAAGTCAGCGTAGGTATGTACTTCTTGTCATTTGCTGTTTTTGAACGCACTTATCTTTTTCATCTTTGAAACTTTATTTCAATTAAGTTTTCGATGAAAATAGATCAGAACCGCCCGTGAGACGATTCAAGAGTTTTTCAAACTTTCCTAGGGAGGCTTCTGTGTCCCTTCAAGGAGGAGCTTGGGAAGTTCTTCCAAATCTTCTGTTTCAACCGGTGGCGTTCCTCAGACCTCTTCCCTTAAGGGATGTCTTTCTTTGTCCTCCGGACCTCTCTTAATCGGGTGCCCTTCCCTCCGCAAAAAGTTGCTATACTCGTGGTTTCGCTCAGGTGAGCAACCTGTATTTCTGTCATGATAGCGAAGAGAGCAGTAAATGTCAAATTTTCGAAATCGAGTTTCCCTCAAAACTCATCTAAACTTTTTTAGATTAAATCACTGAAATAGCTAAAACAGCAAAATTCATCTTCATTCTATGAAAACGAGACACTTGAGAAAGCCATAAGTGCGCAAAAAATGACGTAGTTTCAGGCAAGACAGCAGTAAGTGACAATATTCCTCCAGAGAGTCAATGAAAACAGTGCTTTCAAGGAAAGTGCCGCCCTCTTCTGCCAATTTCTAACTTGAAAATGTGTTTGTTGTGCGCCCAAAACGCAACCACGAAAGCACTTACGGCTGTCTCGCATGATAATAACCTAGCATGAAAATGGAAAATACCATTTTTATGTAATTGAAATAAAATCAGTCGATTTTTAATTAGCCTAACCACTTCTAGGACTCTTTCGGACGATTAGTGGCAATTTAACAAAGAACGGAGGCTTCTTTCAATAAAATTTTCCGGTCAGAAGCTTCTGAGCCTGTTTTCTCAGAACTTCATTTTTGCACTTACTACTCTCTTCCCATCAAAGAGTAGGTTCTTTTCGCTCGTCGCCGCGGCTGGTATGTTGAGGAAGGTCGGCACACCTTCGCCGTGCATGCGAGCACGCTCCTCAGCCAGTGTCAGTGTTTACAGTAACGACAGTGTCGCTAAACGGTGCGATTAACTTTGGAAGTAAACTCGTCGGTCTTATCGATTTCCTGTCCCCTCTTTTCCCTCCTCGCTCTCCGGTGAGATCTATTCTTTTCCGTTCGTTTCGCGTTCATTTTTGAGCAGGCGCCTCATTAAACAATTATCGTTCTCACCAAATATCCTCAAGGGCACCAGCGACTCGGGCCGTGTCGCCAAACTTTGTCCACGAATGATGAATCATTGATTTTAAAGTGGGACCCGATACTTCCTGGCCCATGGGAACAAGTACGCGTGAGGTTGTCACGTGACGTGGATTGTGTTACATCAAGCTTCGAAAGCTTTGAGCTTTGCGTTTATTGACGTGCAGCATGGAGAGGGACCCAGCAATGAGTAGGAGTTTCCCTGGAAATTCTGGGGAAAATACACTGAAAAAAAAACTCCGGCCGTGGAAGCCGTACTTACGGGCTATATAGACATACCGTCCGCCTTCCGGGTTCGGAGGCCGAAAGTTCCAGGCGTTCCGGAACAATCGAAGCTACGGCTCCAGCACCCGGAACTTTCGGCCTCTGAGCTCGGAACGGTGTATTTCTATACATATACACTGGAAAAAAACACATTGGATCTAGAGTCCAGACTCTTGTAAACATTGACAAGAAAAAATACTATTGATTCAATCAGATTTAAGCTTTAATCAAAAGGAAATCCGCTCAAATTAAGAGACTTGGTTCTTGATTTAAGCAAAAATCCGATTAAATCAAGATTATTTTTTCTTTTCGATGTTTTTAAGAGTCTGGACTCTAGATCCAATGTATTTTTTCCAGTGTGTATAACCCGTAATTTGTTTTTCCGTGATTGTACGTTCGGGGAAAATTTGATAGAAAAACATACACACATGCACGTCATGTACACGGTGATCACTCACACACTGAGAACTTTCCCGATAGTTCTCGGGGACGTCCCGCGTATAGTAATCCATTAGCTTGACAGCTCTTTGGAAAAAATCGATTCGATTTTTTTTAATGAAAGTGAAGTGGAAGTCTATCGGAATGCTTCGGAAATAGCAATAGACAAAAATCTCAACGAAAAACATTGACATAATGATCACTGAGCTCAAAATTTTGTAAGGAGCAAGGACAAGAA